TCAAACTATTTTAGTAAAATGGTTTCTGATATATAGAGCATTGGAACGAAATTTGGATTAACATAATGCGTAGGTAACACATCAACCATTTCTATGTTATATTTGTGATTTAGGTCTAGGTCGACATTACTTTCAATTTAAGAAGTGGTAAAAAAAGTACAAGAAACTAAATTATTCAATTAACTATTCTGGAAAGTTAAATCGATTTGGAAAAAACACGAAAGGTTGGCACCAGTAAAATAAGCCGCTACAAAAGTAACGCAATATATTTTAAATTTTGTATAGCAAAATGTCTAAATTATTTAGTTAACTAAATTAGAAACTCTAATTGGACAAATAGTAGGTAACTGGATTCCTTCCAAAATAAAATATTGCAATACTATAAAAATGTCAATACAAAACTGGTCAAACACATCTATGTCCAAGCCCAACAGCAGCAAATAGTGAGTTTGTACATCCAATTTGTTATGGAAAATGGACGCCTTCACCAGGTTTCACATTAGGGCCTAATAAATTTTTAAAACTATGTATTAACGACATCAATTTTTAAATTTAAACACTATTTTAAAACTGTTATCTTGAAAGTAGCAAAAATGCAATAATTTTATGTTTTTGAGTCCCAGTTTATCACCACTAATTTAGAAATAATAAAATAATTATAATTACATGACTCATTCGTTAATCAGAAAGTTTCTTTTTCCACATCGAGTTGGAATTTTTACAAACTCAACACTCAAATGATCTTGCTACAAATTCACCAGTGGTTGTAATGAAGACGAAGACTAGTTTTGTAATATTTCCGTTACTTTGAAATGTAATCAAGAATAATTATTTGAAGTAGTTTTTAACACACTAGTAATTAAAACTGTGCAAGGTCTTTGGTTGCAAGATGCACCACTGAGTGCAACACTTAAACTGCACATGCAAAGATAATTACCAAGCATGATGTCCTTGGCCTTAATAACACGTCTTGTTCTGGCCTACATTAACTATCTGAAATCGATTGATTTCCTGCAGACATCCATATAGGCCCATAGTTATATGGTTAATTGATAACGATATACTGTTGAAACACAGGATATTTGTAAGAGGATTACTGATTGTTTATTATTGCAAGTTCATAACTAATAAATAAATAAATAAATATTAATTGTTTAAATCATAAACTTTATATACAACTTATCTTGGAAGTAATTAGTTACACACCAAATAAAATCGTATGAAACTGTGTACGGAGAATTTAATAACCTTACGTTTCAGGAGATAATTTCGTTAGTGTCCGTAGCATAAATTTCTTCATCTACTCGAACCCCCCTGGGTATTCCTAAATGAGCGACGAATTCAGAAATCCCCCGCTAAGTCGGCTGTCACATTAGACTAAAGGGCCAACATAAAATTACAAGTATTACTTTATAATTTGAGTGTAATTGATGCAGGCACTCCGTATTCATATGTATCTAGTCACCAAAAGGAGATAAGATGGCTAACATGATACTGTATGTAGTAGTATGAAATCATACGAATTTACTTTTTTCCTAGGACGTTAGGCACGAACCCGGGATTGTTTTTCACATTGCTTCAGGCTAGACCTAGGGGTCACGGCATTATCACTTAGATAAAATGCATTGTTGATTTGGCAGGTTTTGAACCCGGGACCTCATACTCCGAAGTCCCACGCTCTATCCACTAGACCAGCTCGCTCCCCGGCTCAATATACTAGAGCTGATAACGCATATACGACCTTACCGGACTCATTATATTTACTATGATAAGTCATACAAGAGTGAGATTTCATACAGTCGATGCATACATTAATAACTCGTTTAAAAGTGGTGAAAGAACTATCATTAAATAAAATTCGTCCGATATTTAATTGCAAATAATTAATTAGAAAAAACAATGATTCATTTAGTTTATTGAGCGCCAATACATTTAATTTATTATTTTAAATACTTTCGTTTCCTTACTGAATAAGTTTTTAATTGAAAGTCCTTACAAAATATCACAATTTTAAGAAATGGTTTTTAAATTCATTATAACAATGTCATTACAGGATGCCTAAGAACTATCACATCCACAAACATGGACGACAGCATTGTATTGCCTTTTCCCATGCTGTTGGCGTTTTAAAGTTACCAATGCAGCCAAATTTTTACATTTTCAAGAAAACCACCTGCAATGCAGCTTGTTAAAATAATTCCAGGGATGATTACTATTATAATTCCATTTTGATGAGCATCACAGTGACATAAAACCAACTTGAGTTTTATCACAATCAGTTTCATAATAGACTACAAACTATTATTTTTATTAAATCAGCTGATCACCCAATACAAATCTAATGGAAATTACAACTTTCAAGTTACACCTTGTTACTTATAATTTATTGTGAAACAGGCCCATAGCTATTTAAAGTCCTCCACTTCTACACCGTCTTCAAAATCTAGTAGCTATCAAGTTTATTTCCAATTTAGCAAAACTTTCGGGCAATTTTTAACATGATTGTTTTCGTCCACAACTGCTTTGTAGTTTGCGAAATCTTCATTTCAGGAAGTGGTTGGGCAACGTTGCGATGGAGTGACCTTGCTGACCGTCGGGCACACAAACAACGGGAAAAACATCTGATCGGACTTACCCTTGTACACTAACTACACTCTCACTATCGACTATCTCGGTAAACAGATCAGGGGAGAACTTGTCAAAACGAGATTTACAACTGAAAACTGTACGAGGCGGTATTGTCAACAATGGAAATTTTTGTACATTGACACATTTAGAGGATTTGATTTTAAGATTACCATCTGTTTTCAGGTCAAGTTGAATGTACTTAGCAACATATAGAACCAGATCCTATTTACGTTTTGTTTTTCTTGTATGATAATCACTGCTTAGTTTGAAAGTAGGTTATACGGTTGACCTTGAATGTGGTGTATTTTTAGATGTTCCAACTCATTACTCCTTAGTCTTTCTATAAGAGTTTTTTTTTAACTATTTTGATTTAAAAAAATGTCCTTGCAAAATAAGATTTCCGGAGTCAGTTTCAAGCTGGTTTTGAGCATGGTATCACAATGTTCTGCTAACAGTTTAGTTTTACAAAGTACTGACGTGCTGAACGTTAACGCTACTATTATGTGTCGTAAAAGTCCTGTGATAGGATCGGCAGGCGGAAGCTACAAAAGGACGGGTCACGAAGAGAAAACTGACTAGTCCCTAGTGTTGCAGCCTCTCTTGTTGTTTTGAACTCGTCAAGCCAGTGGCATTTAACAGTTCTCAAGTTTATTGTTGGAATTGTATAAAAGTATTTTTTATTCCAAAACTTAAATATTGATTTTTATCGCGCTAGAGTGAAGATAAAATAGAATGGTTTAGATTTCAACAAAGTGTTGCAAAAATTTCAAAAAAATTTTTGAAACTTATTGCTAGTTTAATCGATGAAGGTAATGAAACAGGCACGTGTATGCTACAAGGGTTAAAATTGAAAGAAATAAAAACCTGAAATATTTGAAACCTGCAAATAAAAAATAGTGTCATTTGTCCCTATAGTTTCTCATAATGTCCAATTTCATAAGTCCCAAGTAATAATTTTAATGGTAACGAAAAAATTTATTAATTACCGAAAAATCCAATAAATTTAAGAAAAACCCACAACATCTACAACCATTAATCAGACACCTGTCACTTAATATCTCAAGGTAAATGTTACTTCCACAAGGTCAATCGAAAGTACCCTGAACTTTTCCATCCCCACCCATCTCCCCTTCTGCAATGCGAAAAAGAATTACATCAATTACAAGCCAATAAAAAATTGCCAACCACTATGTTTGATCGACAAATTTGAGAGCGATTTGGACTAGACTAAATTTCACCAAGATTCATTAGTGTCCATCAGGCTTTAATATCAGCAGGTCGGTTGCCTTGACCTGCTTGCACACTTGCCTAGGGTGACCGGACCGCATGTCACGGCTGATTTGAAAAGTGGCATTCGAGACAAATTCCACAATTTTATATAATTTTTTATCAAAAAACAAGATGGATACGGTTTAAGCTTATTTTCAATTTGAGCAGTGCGATTGTAGTACAAAAAATATGTAGGCCTACTAGTGTTTAAAATACTTCCAAGGTTAATGAGAAGTGACTCTCATCAACCAGCGACTACATGCCGAATTTCATAAACCGTTGTTGAATGCATTCGGGTTACATGGAAACTAATTGAGCCGTACGAGCGGTTTACAACTCATTACAACGGCTTCACGTAACGATACGCGTGGGATCGGCCGAATCAGAAGAGAGGAAGAAGAAAGTGAACCCGAGGTCCAGATAAAGAAAGGTCCACTGTTGAAAATATAGAGATAGAGCCTCACCGCCTACGATAATAGGGTAATGACGAGTGCGAGGGAAATGAAAGTGAAACCAGTTGTACAAGCTGCGGCTGCGCCACCGTGGAATATCTGGTCCTGTCTGGGATGGATTTTGACATTTAGTTGAGTGAAAATTAAAGTGTTGAATAGCTGGGAACAGTATTAAACACCCATAAACAAATCTATAAAAAGTAGGTTTGCAAATGTACATTATTTTAATATAATTAAACATATTCAATAAACAAGTTGCTGTACATATACAAGTTGTCTGGTAAATACGCCGTCAGTGATGAATCAATAAATAATTACAATCGTCCAGTATAAATAATGGTTAGGTTTAATTAGTTTGGTTCTGTACTCAAAATTCAATAAAACTCACACCAAATCTTCCAATTTAACAAATTAAACTGCAATCAAGCTCTCACATACTAAACACACTGGTAAATATGCACATCTAAAAAATTATCGACCAATAAGATTAATTAAAACAAATCCAAAACCACCCGAAATACCTTTATCGTACACTATTTACGTGACATTAAACCAACATAAATTACAATATTAAATACACAATATATGTTTTAAATAAAATATTCCTATTCAAAATGGAGGCAGAGATAAGAGTTATCTATGTGGACTTACCGGTCCGATGGCAGCAGCGTCGTGGTTAAACTCAGTCGCGACTGGAGAGACGGCAGTTGCTAGCTTGGAGAGGTTAAGTAACAGTGGAGGGGGTATTGAGTAACGAGTGTACTCCTTCATTCATACTTTTATCCCCGTATTATTGCTATCCAGGCGAAATCGACAGCAAGGTTACAATAATTGCAACAATTGGTTTGAACATAATGTGATCGTCGGGTTTGATTGGCACTAGTTTGGAAATAGATGGAAGAGGGTGTATCTTGAGGGTGTAGTGTGATTGTTTACAAACAAGGGTTACGAACAAGTGTAAAAAACTCATTAGTCAAGTATTTAAAATTATTGGTATTTATTTGACAAACCCAATAAAAAGACTATCGAAAGTGTTAATATATTGTACCGTAATACAATTTTACTACACGATTATGATTTTTAAATTGAATTTAAAAAGGAAAATTTAACCAGTTATACATTTAGGCAAATTCAAGTAAATGAACCTAGACAATGGCCAATGAAAATTTTGGAAATCTGATAAATACTTAACGGCAATAATGTTTCATTAGTTAAGTTTTCTGCCCTTGTAAATGCTAATTACTGTATAAATAATAAACATGTTCTCATCCTGCCTTTTAATTAAAGCCCCAAAACCTTTCCGACCCATTCGAAATCATAAACAAAAATAGCTTAAGCTTAAACTAAAATGAAGGTATAAAGTATAGTAACTTGAGTACAAATCAAAATAAAAAAGGTTAATTATTTAAAATTAAATCTTCTCATAAAATATTGTTTGGTTGTACTATTTTTGTGTTGTGTGGAAATTAAATGTGTTTCTTTCGGTGCTATTATCCTTATAATTGTTCAATGATGTATTCGGTTTTAGATATTTATAGAGTTGAAATGCACGATGTTTAACATTCCTGTATACAACCTAGTTTTCATGTAGATGTCTATCAGTTGGTTCATCCACTGATGGGCTTGATGAATGTTCTAAATCTATTCTTATGGAGTTTATTATTAGTGAGAAGTCAAAGCCGCTCATATATTATGAGGGATTAAAGTTTAGATTTTACAAGACATTGAAGGACGATATTCAGCGATGGCCATGCTGTGATAAAAAGTGTAAGTCTTTCTTAAAGCTAAGTGTTATCAATTAAATAATTGAAAAACAGACTGGTCACAATCATGACCGATGTGACGATACCGTTCTATTGTAAAAAGGTTAAAATACCTGTAACTGCCTCGTGATTCCTCTGTTCCTGTACTGGACTACGCGCGTTTCGATGTATTCACATCATCATCAGGTCACAAACTTGAAGAACTTAAACCATTCTTGAATTGGTCGCGTCAAAGTTTACAAAAAAATACACAAAACATTTGGCCTACAGTATTTTTTTGTAAACTTTGACGCGACCAATTCAAGAATGGTTTAAGTTCTTCAAGTTTGTGACCTGATGATGATGTGAATACATCGAAACGCGCGTAGTCCAGTACAGGAACAGAGGAATCACGAGGCAGTTACAGGTATTTTAACCTTTTTACAATATTATTGTCAACGTGATTCGGAATAAACAACACAACATGAAGATACCGTTCTGAATAGTCAAAATCTGAATAATAAGTTACGACGAAAGGCAATTGAAGAAATTAGTGTTAGGTATCAGGGTTTACCAAGTTCAATATGAAAGTTTTTGAAAAGGTGTAATTTTTTTAATTTTAAATATTTGCCATCACAATAAACTTATGTACAATTGAGTGCAAACCAAACTAACACAATAAACTGATTTCTTAAATTATGTACTATTACTATTCTTAAATTTTAGGTACAATTAAACCAACCGTATCCTTGGCCGCAATTATTAACCTGTTTATACTTGGGCCGCAACTCGTACAAAACATTTTTCAGTCTGGACCGCAACTCATACGCAAAATGAGGTTTGGGCCGCAACTCACCAACACCGGATTTTTGTGGGACTTGGCCTAACAATCTCATGAAAAGAAAACCAATTTCAAATGGTTTACTTTTTTGTTGAAACAAATATTCTTAGACGGGGTTCTTTGCGTCTAATACGAGAAAACATAGATTTTTGTCGTGGCCAAAGTACAAACATACTTCATCCACTGAGCAGAGACACAAACACCATGTTGAGTCTTAATCACAATAAATTCTTTCTTACACTAAACCGCATGGGTAACTATGCAACAATGGATATAATGAAGTGAAGAAAATAGGGATACCAAAATATAATCTTTTTGTCTTTAAAAATGTGTCTCACAGTACTTTTAGTTTGGGTTGCGTTAAAAAACACCCTGTATATATGAAGTTTAGTAATATGAAGAATGTTTTATATAAGAATTTATTGCATTACATAATTAGTTAATATTATTATCCAGGTTAAACTATAAGCTGATTTCATTTAAAAGTAAAGAGGTTGAAAATAGGGGGTTGGTTTTTACATGGATCATAAGGATAAGGATATTGCAGTATACTAACATACTCTTTATACAAGGTTGACAATCATCAAAAGGGCTTATAGTATCCAAATACTTGTACTAGTGAATACAAATACATTCTAAATATCTCTCTTTCCAAAAATACAAGAAACATAACATTTTACCTGATTTCTAAACGGTTTCCTAATTTACTTTAGGATAATATGTTTTCTACGGGTATGTACTGTTTTAATCACCCTTTTAACTGAAGTTTGCTAGAGGGTGTACTTTAAGGATAATCTCTTCTTTGAAATACCATCGTTAAGCGATATTTGTGGAACACCACCTTAAGACCATCAGGAAATGTTTCACTCCTTGTTTATTGAAAGTAAAAGGTATTTTAAGTGTAAATATAGTTCCAGGATATGAGATGAATGGCCAAAAGAGCCGACGGCCTTCTTGACACTGTGGATAAGAACTATTTGGAATTTCCACTGAAAATGCACATTAAAGCAATGCATGCATCATGGTTATTGAATTGTTAAATATACATTAACCCTAACAATTTCGTGTTCGTTCTTTTAGTCTGACTTTTTAAACTGATGTCAGTTAGTTATGACGTTATGATTATCTTTTTTATAATGATATTTTATAAAAGATATCAATCAATTCATTGAGATAGGGACGCCTCCTAGGTATTTTAACCCAAATATGAGTGAAGGATGAGTTAATTGAGTGAGATGACTTGTGTAGCTTTTTACTGACTAAAATCAGCGTACGGTCTTGTGATGTGTGTATAAACTGTATATAACATGTGTAAAAAGTTCTTCTCGTCTCCCTGATTATGCCACTTATATAGGTATTGGAGGATTTAACATCTTTCTGCAAGAACAAAGGCTAAGGTAACAACAGTTAAATAATTAAATAATATCAGCTGTTTTATCAGCCAGGATCAGTAGGCAGTTTGTTTATGTTTAACAATCAAAAAGCCACTGACTTTTATCAGGATCGAACTGACGACCTTTTGTTTAATAGGCGAGCACTTTAACCACTCAGCTACCCAGCCTTTGCTTGAAGTAATTTCTTTAATGGTGTTTTGCTTATGTATGTCTTTTAATATCCTTTTTTGTACCTAGAATATTTTTTGTCAATGGTCCCTGATTTTCATAGGTAAAGAGAAGCATTATATAACTCTAATCGATCAGTATCACATTTTGTATTTTTTACGGTTTTGCACTTTTTGTTATTTATATACCTATCGGCCCACAAGAAAATGGTCTCAACATCAGCTTTCAAAATGTACTAACCCGCTATTGATAGTGATTTTCTCATACTCTAGTTCTCGATTACCTCTATCAAGATAACCACGATTATATTTTTCTTGCTGTCAAAAGCAACTATAACTAGCTAAATTATTGAGGTTGTCTAAATGAGAACTTATGTTTGCCAAAAGGGAAACAAAATATTATAATATAGTAACGAAATTACATAATTTTGTTAAATCGAATGAATAGATCTTAATAAACAATCAGTTTACATAAATAATTGTACTGTTAATATACTGTTAATACTGTTCAATACTGTATATTAGGTTCAGAGGGGAGACAAAATATGACGTTTTAAGCCGGTTTAATATCACAGCAATAATTCAGAGACATAACAGGCATAAACGGGGATTAGCAAAAATTGTTTTTTTTAGAAATGACTGGTTAAAACCCCCTTTTGTTAACTAAGTTTTTAAATACAACTATAAACAAGTAATGCATTTTCGTAAATATCTTTGTCCTAAGCTATAACTCAATTTATAAAACCACAGTGTCGTGTCTGGTTTATAATATACTATTGCTCGTATTGACATGAGCTGCCTCACAGGTCACGACTAACGTCACTCAATGTAACTGTATAATGACAGATCAGGCTGAGTGCATTACTGTTGCACTAGCCTGTATAAATACTAACCAAGGTCGAGTAACTGCATCTACTGACTTGTGATTACAGCCACACCTATCTGTCCTACAGGGTTTATAAATTACACACATTGATGTTCATTAAAGTTTATTAACAGTTATTGGTAGGTGCAATCATTTGACTAAGTAATTATTTCATTGATAAAATTATAAGTAGTGAAAAACACTGTATGTGTAATTTTAAAAGTTTGTTAAAGAAGTACTTACTTTTTAGCCTATCTTTGACCTTGGATACAAAAATTATATTTCATATTCCGTTGTTAAGTCTTAAGCCTTTTTAATATGTGTTTAATGTTCGGGTACATTTGGGGTAGCGGATTTCTACCCCCGAATATTTACCCCCATGAAAAAACGCCTACATCAATTTGACGTCACGAGGGGCGGGGCCTATACACGGTCGAGAAACAGCCCGCAACTGGAAATCTACCCCCGGACATCTACCCCCAGACATCTAACCCCGGACACCTATCCCCGGACATTTACCCCCGGACATCTACCCCCAGACATCTACCCCCGGAAATCTACCCCCGGACATCTACCCCCAGACATCTAACCCCGGACATCTATCCCCGGACATTTACCCCCGGACATCTACCCCCAGACATCTACCCCCGGAAATCTACCCCGTGGTCAGCTACGCTACGTATCGGCCAAGATGCATTAATCGCATTAATGTTGT